AGAATGAAGCCGCCAGGTACACTAAAGTCATCACACCCTGAGGACAGCCCTGGGTGCTTCAGGGAGCATCTTCATTCACAAGCGTTAAGTGAGGTGCCATTCAGGTTTGAGCTGTAGAGGATGCATAGGGGCTTCTGCCCTGTCTCTGGTGGTTTTTGTCTTAGTGTACAGATTCCATCAGCCACCTCTGATCCAGCCCTGGATGGCAGATTACAGAGGAAGGAAAATGCAAAAGCTAAGTACACTTCTTTTCCCAGACCTGTTCTAGCGTTTCATGAGCTGGGTGTTTTTGGAGGAAAGGCCAAAGCTAGGATCCAGGGTTAGGATCACAGACCCAATGGGCAGGGTCACACTCTCATTCCCCATTCCCAGAAATCCACTTGAAAGTCATATTTCTGATTGTGAACATCTCTGGTTCTGTCATAAGGGCTTCAAAACAGAATGGAAATGTAAAACCAACGTGGTGGTTTTAGGTGCCAGCGTGGTGGCCATGGAGCTTGTTCCATTCAGTCTGTGATGTAAGTCTTGGCAGGCTTGTGAAGTAAGCCTATAGAGGCCATTTTGTGGGTATGGTTACGGGACTAACACATTTGGTCACTAGTCTCCAACTGTGAAATGAGGGACCCACCTTACAGGGACACTGGAAAGATTCTATAGTGGGTCTTGTGTTGTTGCTTAAGAGTTTGGGGTTCAGAGTCTCAGCTTGAGGACTCAGCCCTACTCTTTAGCTTTGTGGCCTTCTGAGTCAAAATAGTTTTTTGTCCTGAGTTAAAACAGTTGTGTCAAAACTGGTCCTTCCTCTATGGAGAGTTGGGAGAGGCACTGGGATTTCCTACATGCCAAGTTTTTAGGGTGTCCTCCCATGTCCAGTGAGGACCTGGTAAATGTTGGCTCATAGTAAGTTTTCAAGAAGGCTGATCACCTTTACCATTAAATATAACTTCAAGATGCTGAAGTGTTTTTATTTTTAAACATGCCATACCTTATTAGAGAAAGACAGATAGAAACAGAGAGGAAACACAGCCAGACCTTTTGTTCCCTGCCCAAAATTTGGGGGGAAAATTAAGATCTTGAGTAGAAATGGAATCTGATTTCCAAAGACTGATGTAAAATTTGAAACCCTCTTCCTTCTCCTGCCCTCAGCTGCCTTCAAGGGGGATGGTGTGGGGCCACTCTGAAGGACCCGGCTGTCCTGGCTTTATAAATTTGAGTCAGATATTAGGTACATTACAGTCTTGTTCTAAGGATGAAGATCATACAGGGCCTTATCACTGGCGCCTGGAACTCCTGAATTCAGACAAAAATCGCTGAGCTTGCAAGCTTTCTAAATCCTGAACTTTTGTTTGCAAAAAGGCTTTCTGGAACTGTTCATGAGAATCATTGGTTACAAGCTTATTATGGAACTGGTACATACAGGACACATTTAAAGGGTGTGTGGGCTGAGCATCGTGTGCAGAACAGTAATCCTGCTTCTAAGAAGGTGAGGCAGGAGGATTAGGAGGTTGAGGCCAGGTCCTCTCTCCAGTGAATGAATGAATGGAGGAAGGAAGGAAGGAAACAAAAATCGAGCAATAAGCTTGTGCCCCTAGAGTAACTGGTAGAAATGTTGTCATCAGATATTCACTCTGTCCAAATGTGGGTATTCATGTGTGAGTGTGCACAAAAGCCCTGCCTATCCAGGAGACCAGAAGAAAGGCTCTTTGTCACTACTAGGATGTGTTTTGAGGTAGTAGGAGATTGGCTTTCTGGACCCACTTGGCAAGAATGGCCTTGACCTTGCCATCAAACAAAGGAATACATGGCAGCAACCCGTTCTCTGAAATCCCCACAATCCATCATTTTCAATGAGTGAGCAGGATGCATTCATGAAGCCTCACAGGGCATCTTTTCTCTTTGTCCTTTCAAAGTGCGTGTAGTTTGATCCGTCTTTACTTCTATATGATAATTCAAATCATAAAAGCAACAGCGAGAAGAACATGTGTAAGAAAGCATACATGGCTTTAAAGTTATCCCCAGGGTCTGGGCAACAGTCCTTCCAGGAATCTTTTTCTCTGCGTATTTGTCACGGAGTAACCTCAGATGTCAGTGGCTCTTGAACACCTGAGATGTGCCTAGGCTAAATTCACGGGGGCCAAATGTGTAACTTCCATAAAGAATTTTTAAAACACAAGAGTAAAATATCTGATGAATTTGTATATTAATAATATGTTGAGGGGATGTTTTAGATTCATTATATTTAAGAAAATATACTATTAAAATTAATTTTATTTGTTTTAACTTATTAAATGTATCTTCTAGAACATTGAAAATTATATTTCTGGTTCACATTATAGTTACTTAGAAATCCATACAAAATACAGCTCGTAATGCTTAAGAGTTTGAGAATCTGTTGCCTGCCGATGCCTTCCAAAAACATCTGAAAACAGCAATATTACTATTACTTCATTTTTTAAACCATTCCCACTTTGTTGAACGTTCAGGGTCAGAAAGAATGGAGTTTGTGCAGTCACCTTGGGATCCTGCCTCGTTTTTTCCCAAAGGAGAGTATCTGGACCTCAATGAAAACACTGTTGACTTTCGAAACTAGGTTACTCCTTCTGGGGCTGTTCTGTGCTTTGTTAATGCAGTACGATATCTGCACATTCCTTGTCTTCTGCTCACTCCATACCAGAGAACATCCCTACCTTCACAGAGGCAGGATAACCAAAATTATCCCCAGACCCTGCCGTGTGTCAACTGAATGAAAAAGTTTGTCCCAGATGAACAGCATTGACTAAGGGTGATTTCCCAGGATGGGGAAACACTGGGTGAAGATTGTGTATATTTGAGCCTGAGGAATGTATATTGATTTATGTTGCAATTTTGTATATATTACTGAAGTATCTCTATAAGAATATCCCTCCACTCAGAAGACCGAAGTAAGCAGGTTGCTACAAATTTGATGGCAGGCTAGAGTGCAGAAAGTGTTTCAGGCCAGCCAGAGCTACATAGTGAGTCCCTGTCTCGTAAGAAAATAAATAGATATTAAAAATTCAAAATAAAGAGTGTATATTAGTGAAGTGTTTTCTGTGAGAATCTAAACAGTTCATATTTCTATCTAGAATAACAATGACTCTCCTTAAATGCTACAAAGAGCCCTGAGAAAGGGCAGCAGTGAGCTCCTGCTAAGATGCTAGATAGAGATCTCTTTGCTGGGATCTCTCTGATTGCTGCATGCCTGACCTCTTGGAGGGAGCCTGGGGGTTTTGTCTGGGTACCCAGCTTCCCGGTGAGATGGTATACAGTGAGCGCATCCTTGTGCTAAGTGACACACCTGGGATTCTGTGCTTACAATGGAGGGGAAGATGGAGAGCCCTGGAAAGAAAACCTTTTATTACTTTGCAGTTGATTTAAGGCTTGCCTCACAGCAAGTAACAAGAACAGCACTTGATGATGCCAAGCCTGGTGGCACAGGCCTGTAACCCCAGCTACCCTCTTGCTAGGTTGAGGAATAAAGATCACAGTTCAAGGACTGCCTGGGATGTATTGTGAGTCAAAGGCAGCTTGGTCAGCTTAGGGAAACTGTCTTTAAAAGTTTATTTGAGGGGGACTAGGGAAGTGTTAAACTCGGTGTTAGAACACCGAGTTGTTTAGCAACCATCAATATTGAAAAAAGACAAAGGTAAATAATGAAGAATTATTGAAGATCTGACATATGTCAGTCAGGTCTTGCTAAATGCTTTTAAGTGTAATTTCATTTTGTTTGGTTTTTGTCCCCCCAGCCCCTGTGGCTAGAAGGCATTCCTCTCCCTACAGGAAGGGTATCAGTGCTCACAGCAGAGGCCAGAATTCATCCACAAACCCAGACCATAGCACTGCCATGTGATGTGGCCAGGATGGGAAGTAAGCAGGCCCACTACTAATGACCCTACTGCTCATTAGTTCACTCTTTCTTCAGGTATTTGGGCCATCTTTCTAGCCACGCCCCCTCCAAGTTCCTTGTAGACATTTGGATTGACAGTGGCTCATTTAATGTGTCCATAGATTGATGTCTGCTGTTTTCAGGGCCTATAGCTGAGGTGTTGTAAGTTGGAGAAGATTCCATAGGGAAGTAATCTGGAGGAAAAAAAGAAGTGTGGAGGAACTACAGAGAATGCACATGTTTTGTGTTGGTACAGGCTGTGTTGTAGTGAGCTGAGCATAAAGAATATAGTGGGTCCCAGGGGAGTAATGGTGACCAAGTCACAGGTAGAGATTTTGGACTGGATATACATGGCCTTGGGTCTGGGTTTGCAAACTTTTAATTTTAATTTCTTTATAGTGTGTGATGGGGTGAGTCATAGAAAGTATAATGATCATATTTGTATTTTGGGAAGATCACTCTAAAGTATTTAATATGCATGGATAGGAAGAGGGTTGGGGGCGGCCAGTGCCTGAGAACTAGAAGGCAGACCACACATCCATTCTCACCATGCAAGTGAGTCTCTCTGCCTCTCTAAGTTCTGCTTCCCAAGCTGCGCTGGCACAGCTCATTGACTGGAAACAGCAAGAGTTTCTGTAAGGACTTTCTCTTTGGAGCCCTCAGCAAAGGTCATTCCTTCTCCATGTGAATTCAACTGCATGTGGAGTTCTTTCAGACTGTTCATACGGCTGCATTCAGCTGGAAAGGTAGCTGTGGTGGGACCAGCCAGGAGGGTATATCTACATGCCTGGCAGTTGGGGCTGTCCAGTGTAGTCAACTTTGGGTGAAAGAGGAAGTGGCTAGACTTCTTCAGGCTCAGTTGAGACCTGCCATTGAACCATTTCCACAGCCTCACATTTGCCAAAGCTCATCATATGCCCAGCCTATACTCAAGGGCACTAAGAAGTGATACCACTTTTCTCTGTTGACAGTATGGTGATTGAAAATCTAGGGTATCATACTGTTATGTAGCAAATTTTTTCCTAAGGAGACGCAATGCACGCATCTATTCACCCCATTTAGGAAACCCATAACAGACCAAATACAAATACCATCAAAGTCCAATCTGCTGAATGAATGAGTTTATTGGGATTACTTACAGGAATATGGATGAGGGGTTACTTACTGAAGCAGAAATGACTCAAAGACAACTGTATGACTAACGCCCACCCTAGCATGGGGGACAGCTCACAAAATCTGGCAAACCCGGGGCATACTGCACAGCCTGCAGGTAGTACAGCAGGTTGGAGAGCGTCTTTTCTTTTCTATTGGTCTAACCCTCTTCCCGGCAGTTCAGCTGGATTCCGCTTCTTCCAGACTGCTGGTCTGGTCTCATCATCTTTGCAGCTCAGCTCCTCTGAGAATCTTTGCAACTCAGGTTCTTCCCTCTGAGGACTCTCAGCTTTTATTTCTTACTCTGGCAGGGAGGAGCCTAGTGAATCCACTCACTTTCAGGGACTTCCTGAAGCTATTTTGAGTTGTTTACCTTCTTGCTTAAGGAGTGTCCTGCAGGATGGAATGTTTTAGTCTTGGAGGAAACTGTTATACAATATATATCTGCTAAGAAAATGCTTTACTATTGAATGATGTCCCAAGACCTAAAAAAGGAAAAAATAAAAAGAAGGCAAAAAATTAAAAAAAAAATCTTTTTGAGACTAGGTCTCATAAGTTCCTCAGGCTGGACTTGAACATGTTATGTAGCCCAAGAAATACTCAGAACTACAGACTAACTGAGACTACCACCTGATAGATGTGGCCGTGAAAGAATGAGAGGGCTTACTAGCAGGCCAGTGTTGGAGGCAGCATGCCTTAGCTGCTGTGTGCCAGCATGGTTCAAGTGCTGTAAGAGGCTACATGAGTTCCCTCTGAGAGCTTTATGGAGCCAGTGTGCACAAAAGTGGGGCAGTATTGGTTTTCATCTGTTACACAATAAGGACTAAGTACAGTGACGGCTGAGATAGGAGATGCCATTCCAGCCTGGGGAGCTAGAAAGAAAGAGCCAGACTTACAAGGGTTCAAGAGAGGGCACATTCCACACAGCAGCACCAGCAAGTGGGAATGTAAGACATATGCATAAGGAAGGAGATATGGCCAGTATGACCAAAGCCTAGTGCCCAAGGAAGAGATGGAAGGGGCTGGAGTGAGTGGGAGACTACTGGAGAAGACTGGGCAACAGATGACCATGATATGGACCATAGTGTAGCTGATGGATAGACAGGAAGGAGAAACCTTTAAGAGATGTTTAGAAGTTAAAATTAGGCAACAGTTTTTAATGAGTTGAGTGGAATTTCTGAAGGCGAGGGAGCTATTAAGGATGACACTTAGATTTTGTAGTTTGTTGTATATGTTGGGTAAAACAGAATGTCATCCATACTAGGCAGATGCTACATCACACACCCAATGTCGTAACACCCAGATTCTCCGTATCTCTAGATGGTAACATCCTTGCTGAGCTAGTAGAATGTTGGGAAAGCCCCATTGTGGGATAAGAAAATAACGAGATGACTTGGGCACATCTCAGAGTTCTCAGTATAGAACACCATTTTCATTTATAAAATATACTACTCATATGTGTATATATCTGTCTTTATAACAAGAAAGTCCAGAATGTCCATATTTTTTTACAGCAAAAGTGAGTTTGTAGATGACCCAGTGGACTTCAGAAAGATTTGTTCCTACTGTCCAGAAAACATTTTTGTTTTTATTCAGAAAACATCATTGCTGGAGTGCATGGAAATTAAGTAGCTTAGAAGAGAGAATGTTGGGAAGCAGGCAGCAAGGCCAGTGTTCCCTGTCCTCACACATCTTCAGAAACTGCCCGTGAAAGGAAATGTGTGTTTGGTAATGCACTGCTCAGGCCTCCCTTTTCATCACTTGCTGTTTTGATGTCTGCAGGTGCTCCCCCACCCCCACCCGTGTGTGTGTGCACACGCTGGGTCATTGGCACGGTGTCTACCCATCATCTGGGCAAATTAGTTGGGTTTAAGTACAAATGAAACCATCAAAGTTACTATATTATTTAAAAGTAAAGAATAATTAGACTGAGCAAAAACTGGCTGCAAGAATGCCCTCAGGATATGTTGGAAGTATGAAGAGACAGACTGAGAGAAATTGCAGAAGAACAAGCAAGAGAACACGGGGGACCTCCTCCAGCCTCTTGGGCCATGGTGTGGTCTAGCTACACCCTGTGTGACTGTGCTAACAGGCAGGCACACAGAAGCCTAACTTGTACCATTAGATGCAGGTTCCTGCAGTTTTCTGCTGAGTCTGTAAGATCTCTTATGGCCACCATCAAGGCAAGGGAAATATTTAAGAGCTGCTTAGGAGGGAGTCAGACAGAGGTTCAGCAGGTAAAAGCTCTTTCCATGCAATCCTGGTGAACTAAGTTTGATCCCCAGATCCCAGGGGAGAGAACTGATTCCCAGAAGTTGTTCTCTGCTCTCCACATGTGCATCATGGCACCCAGGCCCACATACACCATATACATACGACGATGATGATGATGATGATGATGAAGATGAAGGTTAAAATTTTTAAGAAGAAAGCCAGGTACACATATCTTTAATCCCAACACTCCAGAGGCAGGTGGAGGCAGATCCTTATGAGTTTGCAACCAATCTGGTCTATAGAGTAAGTTCCAGGACAGCTAGGCTACATAGAGAAACCCTTTCTCAAAAAAAAAAAAAACAATAAAAAAAATTATTTTTGGAAGAGTCCTCGGAGGTGAAGGGAGCTCTTTCAGCTGGTTGTTGGGTTCTCCAGCAGCTGACATATAGCTGATAGTCTAGACTGTTCCTCCCTGAGCCTTGCTTCTATACCAGTCCTAGACAATGACCTGTTTGCCCCACACTGTCACTAGTAGTAGTAGTAAATTTGAAACCTGGGCATAGGGTAGCTGAAATGGTAGAACGGGATTTCTTTCTCCAGTGAGCTGTGTTACTGCCTCCTTTCACAGATGCCATGGGAAACATGGACTGCTACTGATAGGATTTATACTCTCGCTTCTGAAAAAGGCCTGTGTACAAGGTTGTAATTCGCAATGTGCTCTATGACACAAAGAGATTCCCTAAATGTCCATCAGGAAGGAATTGGTAAATGAAGCTCTTGTCTGTGTAGGGGTGAGGGACACTGAGGGACATCATTTTGCCACATTTGCAGTGGAAATGAACATGAACTTCTATGTACTGATATGGAAACATCCCGAGTGGGTACTATTAATTGACAAGTGGATAAAATAGATGTGAGAAAAAGGAAATACACATGTCCAATATATATATTCTTATATCTGTGTAGAATATTTTTAAAGAGAGAGGCAGGAGAGCTTGCCGTGTGAGCATGCGGACCTGGAGGTGATTGATCCCCAGTGTGTTTGTGAGACAGCAGGGGTGGTGCCAGGAATCCGCGAAGAAGCAGGCACTTGAATCCCTGGGCCTCACTGGCCCTGTCTTCAAAAACAAGGTGGGGGCTCAGCCATGTAAGCCTGATGCTCAAAAATAGTTTCTAGACCCCACATAAAAGTAGAAGGAGAGACCTGGAGAACTGACTCCCCAAAGTGAGCTCTCCCCACCTTACTCCCCCCAAATACTAATAATAACAGAAACAAAAACCATACCACCCAAGGTGGCCAGCTCCTCAACAACATCACCTGAGGATAACTACCAACCTTCATACACACATACCCACATACATATAAACACACACCTCTTTATCCATATGTGTACACACACACACACACACACACACACACACACACACACACACAAATAGAAATGAGTGACAGTAGTCATTTGGGCCCAGAAAATTGGTGTATGTTGGAGATAGGATTCATTCTTCCGATTTGTCCCACTGTGCTATTTTAGCTTGGATGCAGGAGTATAATCCCATTTAAGCAGAGTTTCAGTATATCTAAGAACAAACTGTTAATACCCAAAAGGGCAGCATTCTCTGCTGAAATCGATCAGATACTAGTTTTGATGATGACTCTCTTAAATTCTTGCTTTTAGTAAAAGCGAAAATCAGATAAGATTGCTGATTGATTTGAGAACCCACCGATGATAAGAAACAGCCCATTCAGCTCAGATCTCTTCCCCGTGACTCCGACGGCATGGCTTTTCTCCTGTAATGCTGATTCCTTTGTGACCTCCATCAGTGTATCATGAAGATGTTATACATGGATGTCCTGTAAGACTCAGCCCCTGCTGGCTTCAGCAAAAAGAGACTGATGCTTTAACAAATAGTCCAATGTAGGTCTGGCTCCGCTCAGCCTAACTCCTTACTGTTCTCTGCTGTCTCCTGAGGCAACCCACTTTTAACAAGACTCCCTTCGTGCTGGTGAGGCACTCCAAGGGTGGAGGCGTACGTTACACACAGCCTCCCCCCAGCTCTCCGGGGGTGTTCATGGGTCATGTACTTCTGAGTGCCTTCACAAAGGATCTTGGTGAGGTGGCACACCTGGAGGGTTGACTTTTCACTTCCTCTCTTCTGTTTCCTGTTTGCAATGGCACAGACATTGGCAGACCCAGAGCATCTGTTAGTCTAGTGTCCCGTAGACCTCAGACACCAGGATGGGTATCCTCCAGAGCTCAAAGCTGGCAGAGAAAGCAGTGGTGCTGACAGGGAAATATTTTGTCCTGTGCAATACGAGACCTGAAGGAGGTATGGAAAAGGCTCAGCTCTTACTTGGGAGGATGAGCAAGAGACTCCTGTGGGAGGTGCCATGGAGTCGAGACTTCTCTGAAAGGTGTCTGGCTTCCCTAGCATGTGCCTCGGGAGCAGAGTAAAACTTTGACAGAATTGAATCCTGTTCTCTTTTCTCCCCTTCAAATGACTTTTTCTGTGTCATCCTCCCTTCCTGTGTGGTAGCCGCCACCACGGCTAGACCTTCCAAGTTGGTCATTGGGCTCAGCACAGCACAGCAGAGGAAAAAGGCTCAGTCCTTTGCCACTCACTTGGCACTTACCCATAGCTCATGTCTCCCTCCCCCAGTCCTGATCTGGCTTACTGTGTACCCTTTCCAATCCAGGCCCTATTATATAGCACCAGTTCCCCCACAGTAGCACAAGGGATGTCTTCAAGGGCAGACTTGGCATCAGAAATAATGGAGGCAGCTTAGGGCCGTATTTAAGGAGTGCTGGATAGGGTGGACCTGACGAGGAGTATCAGTCCACTGCTGTGCTGGAAGCCAGCAATCCCAGATTCTTGTACCTGACAGGGGTGCCAGGATTAGGAGGGAGAAGAAAGCAGTTTGATTTATGGCTGAGGTGGCCTTATGGAAAGGTGAGTGCCTGGGTTGGTATTACAGGTTGCAGTCAAATGTCATTACAGTAGTATTAGGGTCAGACGACACTGTCACATAAGCAGACATGTATGAAGGAGGACAGTTGCAGGTGGAGAGAAAATTACCATTTGATTGCCAGCTGGACCTGTGATACCCTCCCTGCCTCTCCTTGCAAATATATTTTGGGATCCAAGAAATCATTCCTCATGCAGTTCTGACACTTGAAGTCCTAGGTAGGTCATGGGGATACACGCAATCAGGAGTATGTGCAAGCTACCACCAGTGTCCTTTATGTGCCTCAGGAGACTGAATGGTGGAGAGGGAGGAGGGTCCATGTATAGCTGTGAGGCCAGTGTCTGTGTGCGTGGGAAGGAAGGACGCACGTCAGGGCACGCTGCGAGGCAGTGTCCTTCCTGCATGTGCTGTGACTTCCAGCCCAGGAAGACCAGGGCCCTGATGTATTTGTCTTCAGATCAGAAACTAAGCTAGACCTGAGCCCTTCCGAAGTGGCTTATACCTCTAAAGGTTTCAGCAGAAGCGTTGGGAAGACTTTTGTGAGACCCAAAGATTTTGAACTCCGGTCAGCAAACAGGAACCCAGTCAGGTGACCCTTCAAGGAGGGGCGGAGCTCTTCATCCCAGGCAGTCATCAGAAGCAGGTCGGGTCAGTGTCTCTCTTTCTCGCATAATAGTCTGACCCCAGGTGATAAAAACCGCAGTCCGAGTGGACTCGAAGTTCCTAGTTCTCAAGAGAAGCATGAGCTTGTATAAGAAGAATGAAGAAGGGGCCAGGGTAACTGCAGGACACAGGCGTGGAAGCTTACAGGTCTCTCCTACTGCAACGGATGCTGTCTCTCTTGATCGTGCCCACCCAGTGTAGCATCCCTGAGTGTCAGTGTGGGATTAGTTCTGGGGACCCCCCACCCTTACACAGACCCAAGCCCGTGTGCATGTAGTATTTGTAACCTACAACACAGTCCCCCCTGTGCTCTCCATTGTCTCTAGGGTCTGAGTAGCATGGTTTACAATGCAAGGCTGGACAAACTTCTGTCCTACTGCAATTTTAGGGAATAATGACCAGAAAAATAGCAGGTGTGTGTTAGCGACAGATATAAATTTTTTCTCAAATATTTTTTATCTCAAGAACAGTGACTCCGTTGATAAGACACAACACTGTGGTAAGGGTCACACTGCTTTTGCATGCTCTTATTGCAGCTAGCCCTATACAGAGCCCCACGTGGGCAGTAAAGTTGGTCCACCTTACGACGGGCAGAACACTGGCAAGAGAAAATTACATACAGTTTTCTATTCATTGTTATGCAGACTTTCTCCAGCAATCTATTTGTTTTTACTGTTTATTTTCATGTGGTTAGCTGCCCCCTCCCCCCGTCATTCTATGTGTATAGAGTATCGCTAGCTATACAACTGCCTTGTTCAGAGGGTTTTTTGAGGGTTTATATCTCATCTTAAAGATACCCTAAAATCCCACCGGACAGAGAAGCTGTCTTCTATGAATCTTTTGAGTTCCCAATTTAGAACATGTGATGGGCGCCTTATAATTGATCGTTTCTCTAGGGAGATGCTGAAGCTTTTATGAGCACAGGAATGATGTTTTACATCTGTTCTTCTCCCCTGCCAGGAACGTGCACACAGTAGGTCTTGTCTCAGGGGCAGAACATCGACTCTGGCAATGCAGCCATGCTGGAAGGTGCTGCTACCACAACAGTGCTTTGGACCTAAGCCTGTTGCAAGCACACACACAGGCATTTGTTTCCTCTGTTAGCTTTTCCCTCTTTGTCTCCTTTCTGTTTTTTTGGTACGTGACCAGGCTCTGTTCCTCTGTGGGAAGCAGCAGACAGCTTCAGTGGATAGGATGTTATATTCACATGTGGAGCGTAGCCCCAGAGATAACCACACGTACCAGTGATGGGTCAGTGGATTCTGTTACATGCAGGGATCTCTGATCAAAAGAATTAAGCTTCCTTGATATGTTCAAAAATAGTGCATTTGGGCCAACTCTGGGATGGATGAAGAGATGTTTTTGATATCTGTCTAGGTTGAGAGCTTTGGGTTATTTTTTTTCTCCCTCTGTTTTTTTTTTCTGAAGTTCCAGAATTAGAATACATTTTCTCCTCCATTTGTTTTCTCAAAGGGTCACCCAGAATTTCTGGGCAGTATTTTCTTTCTCCACTAGAGTTAAATTAGCTTGGTGAACTCTTTAAGAAGGGCTTGTTCCTTCGTAGTTCCTTCTTCCTGCCCATTCCTTACCTTCACCTTTACCCAGTGAAGATTCCAAGACACGCTGCTGTTGAAAAGAGGCATTTAAACAGGCAGGCACAGCAGAATTATGGCTTCAGAGCTTGCACTTGGGAGAGACGGGGTATAACTTGCCTAATGGCATAATAATTGACTTTTTTTTTTTTACCACCCCCGCCCCCCATTACTTTAGAAGAATACCTTACCTACTTCAGCAAAAGCCCCGAACGAAACAAACCCGGAAAATGTAGCAGGCGCCTCGCCAGCTCACCCACCTCACCGTGATATTTTCCCAAGTGATCAGATGGAATATTATTTCTACTGTGTGTTAGCCAAGACCCTCCTGGTCATCACACACTTGTCCTGCTCCCTGCTGGGACCGAGTCACCAGATAAAACTCTCATCTTCTGTATTTAAGACAAAATTTCCGTGCATTTTCAGCACAGATCCTTTGCGTGATACTTTTCACGCTTGTTTTGTTTTCCTCTCGGGTATAAATCTTTATTTGGTACCTTCTCTCTTCTGTGGTGGGGTTGGCTTTTTAGGGCAAATGAGAATTTTTGAGAGTAATTAGTCCCCCACCCCCCCACCCCCATTTTCCAATCTGGTGGCTTTCACAACTGCCCAGCCTCAATGACAATGATTTTAAAAAAGAATTTTTTTTTTTTTTTTGGGCATCTCACATGTGGCGCTGTGGTCCGCCTTGTCTTAGAGGCACATCAGTTTTGCGCATCAATATTAACAATTCAAACATCCTGAAATGCTAATAGCACTAGTAAGCTTTTAATTCCACGGAATTTATTGCTCTCTGTATTTCCATGAATTTATAACGCTTTGATTCTTAAGAGCCCCATTTAATCAGTTTTGCCTGGCACCGCACATAATAAACAACTTGCTGGTGAAAAAGTGCCACTTGGGGGAGGCCGCTAACAAGGACGTTAAATGCTTCTGCCACGAGCCGTTTCGACGCTGTATTTCTCATGAGCTGGAATGTACTTTGCCGGCTTCTGAGCGCTGGTGAAACCCGGTGGCAACACAGAGTCCAGTCAGTGTCAACACAGAGCCCAGTCCAACACTCCCAGCTCAGACTTCGCTAGGTGTTTTTGCAAAAAGCACGGAAGAAATCTATGCTTTTAGCCTCTCCCCCCACCCCTTATTTTTCCTTCTCCTTTAGCTTAATGGCTTCTAATACTTTTTCATTATCTTTACCTTAATCTTTTAGTGTATGATTTATGGACTAGATTGGTGAGTGATATTAGTGGGCAAAAGCAGCCATTAGAGGTTGTTAAGGAACATTTGTTGTTTATTTGGCGGCCTGTCTATAAAAGTACACATGATGGCCCTAATAGCAAAATATCAAATTATCAACTGCTTGAAAGCAGAAAATGTCATTTGTTTCTCAAAACTGCACCAACTTTATATAATTGCCCTTTTAATTATCCCTGGTGGCCCATGAAATTTGCAAAATAGAGCATCAAAGGTTTGATTTACTTACATGTTGCACTTTGGCGGGATTCTTAATGAATATTGTTTAGTTCTAATGCTGGGATGAAATTTGTTTATGGTGAGGAACGCACTGCTGGGAGGGGGGAGGGGTCATAAAACCCCATCAGGGGGGTTTCTGGGGATGAAGCAAAATGGCTATATTCTTGGACCTAACATTTTGAAAATCCTTTTTATGGTGGGATTTTATTACTAATTCCGCTCTAAATGAACAATTGGTAAGTTTCGCCATTCTTTCCACCCCCTGCCTAGTTAAGCAATCTCACCATAGCTTTCCTGGCCACTGGAGTAGCCATTTGTTTATTTCCTGGCAGTTTCCCATCGGGGTCACCTGTTTCTTCAGAAATGGAGTCTCCAAGCTGACGTTCTGAACTGGGTCTCTAAAAGCTTTAGGGCTGTCTGTAGGAGATGCTTTCTACCTCTGCATACCCATGGGCTGGATTTCGGCTGGGAGTCTCCTAGCATCCCTGGAGCTGAGTATGCAGCACACATTTGAGGTTTCCTGGAATCATCTCCTGCTGTCTTCCTAGAAGTTTTGTGAGCCGTGTCTATATGTGATGAAGATTAAAAAAAAAAAAAAACCAGCTCTGAGTCTCCGTGAGCCCAGGAGAGGGGGTTCTGGGAGAGGAGGCTGGGGAGTGAGTTTCCATCCCTCTGTCTATGGTTACTGTCTTAGATTTTTGTCTTCGTCCCTCAGAGGTGAACGATGAGGCTACACCTTGGTTGATGAGAAAGGCGGTGATACAGGCTGGCGATAGCGAGGCCCTGGGCTTGATTGCAGGCTGGCTCACCCGGTACAGGAAGCGCAGTGCTTCTTGCTGATAGAAATATTCAATAATCCTGGGGTGGAGGTGGCTGCTGTGGAACATCACTTGTTCAGCACCTGAGGGTTGACAGGACACCAGCGATAACCACCCGTTGGGTGTGGCATGCCTCCTTGCATTTTCCTGGTCCTGTGATGAGAATGTCACTGTCACGAGGGACAGAATCAAGGGACTGACATGAGTCCATAAGATTACCTCTCTCATTTCCCCTTTATCTACCTGCCCTGTCACTTGGTTGAAGGGGCAGATGTGACTTGTCTCCACAAATTCCTGTTGGTTGTTGCTTGGTAACTTGTTCTTCTCATTGATGTTATAAAGATTGTTTCCGCTTACCATCTCCGCTCAGGTCCTGAGCGCATCGCGCTTGGAGGATTTCTTCGTTTTACCCCTGGCCCTTTGCTCCCGCTCCTCTGGGACTGGCAGTCTCCCTTGGGAGCTCTGGAATCACTTTTGTCATGTCTCAGGCACCTTGGAACGCTGGGGCTCAGTCTTTGCCATGTGGCTGCACCTGACATTGATAATTATTTTCTGCCTCTTCCATCTAACTAAGAACAATTCCAAAGCTGAAATAATTTAAAAATCACTAGCACAGGGACAGGTTTAATGGAGCCCTGTCTACCAGAAGTGGTAATATTTGCCTGGTTCAGCCTCTTTTGTTTTATATGATTTTGCAGAACTCCATCACTGCTGGTCTTTCCCAGTAGCATTCCCAGATTGTGTCTCTGACTTTTCACTGCAGGACCTAGTCCTTCCTTCCTGGTACAGTAGTTCTTTAGCCCTCCACACCAGGAGTGTGCTTCCTGCCTGCCTGCCGCCATCTTCCTTTTCATGGGCACAGTCACAGACAGAGACATGGTGAAGTGCTCGGAGGCCACTTGCTGCTCAGTGACTTTTTGTCGCCTCTGGTGCTTCAAGAATGCTCAGGGGCTTCAGTTCCTTCTCAGGTTTTTATTTCTTGATTTGTTGGCGATCTCTTCCATCTGAATCCACTATACCTTCCTGTACTATGAAATTCTTTCTTTCTTTCTTTTTTTTACATCCACTAACGAAAAGACCATTCAGAAGTCAGACAAACTGGTTATTTCGAGCTCCTCCAGACTTGGGACACATGAATGTACAATTTAAGAAAAAGCTGATTTATAAAAATTATATCGCTTTCTCTGCATTTAATTGAAGTAGGTTCATGTTTTCATACTCTCCCCTCCCACAACATACAATGTAGTATGATAACATGATTCACTGTCCTTTTTTGTATGTATATGTATGCTGGTACACATGTATGTGTGTGTCTGTCTGGAAGCCATATTGGATATGGCATGTTGCCAGCCACATTGTTGTTGATGTGGCTTTTGGCATTGCCCTAGAACTCACCTTTGAGCTAAGCTGGCTTGGCCAAAGTCCCAGAGATCCACCTGCCCCTGCCTCCTCAGCCCTGGGCTTTCAAATGCACACCATTCAGCCTGCCTTTATGTGGGTGTTCCTGGGCTGAATTTCAGGGCCCATGACAGCAAGCTCTTTCCAGAAGGATCTACCTCCCTAACCCTACTCACCATTACCTCTGATGCATTCATAGTTATGAATCCTAGCAATAGACCTTCAGTTGCAAATTCTGTGATGGAGAATTTAGTTTAACCCTGCCATTGTGTTCCTGCCACTGCAGGTAAAATCTGATTCGGAAAGAGTTTTGACAGTCCAAAGTTGTGACATGGTCCCAGAACTCCCATTGTC